ATATATATATAGTCTTGAGAAGAGATATCAAAGGGCACTCTTCACTCGATCTGTATCGCTTTACTGCGAAATGCTGTATCTCATGGTCTGTATCGGATACTCTCATTGAGTTGCCCGTTATTTCATTAAACTTTCAGCTTCCTGAAGTTTTTCAAATTGTAACTGCATGATCTCGCTTATCACGGATCGATTCGCCATCCCTGAACTGTGACTTTTCACTTTTCTTACGCTACAGATGTGACTAGTGGAAGATTTATTTAGCTTTCTCAAATGAAACTGCCACCGAATATTTTTCGCTTATCATTCGAACACAAAGCTGAATGGATATTTTCCCGTGGAGTCGAGCGGAGATAGTGAAATAACAGTGATATTATGATGACGTACTCATTATTGTCCGTATGGTAGAATGAATAAGAGAATCCAACTTGGGGCTAACGCATATCACACCATGTGCAAACGAAGTCTGACTACTGCGCTACATTGACTATTGAAGCTTATGAAAAGAAAGGTATTTTGCTATTGGCAGCAGAAGCCTAAGTTTATTCAAGCGGACATCTACATTTGGCCTTAAAATACTCTCAAAGACGTCGAATTCTTGATGTTCTACACACTGGAACTAGATTTCCTGTACAACAAGTGAACTTCGAGTTGAACCGTCATTCTATTCTAGTTAACCGACTCCGCACACAGTGACCTGCTCCTGGAAACAACTTTATCGTGGTGACATTGATAGGCTAATCAACGTTGTTTCACAAACTGCTGTTTTGCAAGCTGTTGTGCAGATCGGGTGTAAGCTGTTTACATGGAAGAGAAGCGGAAGCTTCACCTAGGGACGGACGATCACTGAAGTTTAAGCAAAACATGCTCGACGGCCTACTTTGTTTCCCTCTATAAAGTTAAATGTTTCTATTAGATGGTAGATCGGTAGTCTACCAGTTGGTCGCGTCTGATGCAATTTCGCGTTCTACTTACTACTTTGTAAGTTTGGTTACACTGGTTAATATGGGGTTCAGTAAAGAGCAATCCAGCGTTCTATAAGGAATAATAAAGAAATCATGTCTCTTTGCACAACCCACACTATCCACCCACGTTATGTTGCCCAGACAAAACCTTGGTATATTTGTTCACCGGCCCTTTCAAGTGTACCTCTAGTGAAACTGGGGCTTCGTAGACGGTTTTCCAACTGCGCCCTACAACTCTGATTCAAGGATTATCAGCTACGTCGTTTCGTTGCAATCACTAATTGTACAAACAAAAAAGCGACTCACATCCAAGTTCTCCAGCTCTTGATACGTGTTCATGCTTTCTTTCCGTGCAGTGGTTGCCTCAGCTAGCAGTTTGTCCACCGCATCCATGGCGGCTCGTGCTTCATCAGCTGCCTTGGAACTAGACTCGCTGGTGAATAAAGCGAGCTCTGCCTTTAGTCCTTCAATGTTTTCCCCAACCTGACATTCGACAGAAAACGGATAGTAGCTGTCTATAGTAAATGAACTGCATTCATGAGCCAACAAACCTCCATCCACAATTAAGAACAAAGAAACCAGATGAAACTATCGCTCACCTTTTTTATTCGTGCTGCTAAATCCGCTTTCTCCGGATCAGCGAAAATAGGATTATCCTTTATCTTTTCATAGATCGCCTCAGCCTCCTTCAGCTGTTTGACCTGGACTTGGAAATCCTGTGCGTTTTTGCTGCATGAAAACGAAACCGTATTTATAGCCACACAAAAAAAACAACCAAAGGCAATCTGATATTTTTGTGTAATACCAGCATGGGAGGCTGCACATTCCACACACACCTTGGTTTTTTTTTTGCGGAAACTGTTATCTGAATCATTATCAGTGACGAATGCAAAGTGAAAACAGCTTCATCAAGAAGGGCTGCTAGCTCGTGTATGTTCACCAAACAAGAGCTGGGCCCATTAATGGTTTGCTGAGTTACACGACAAGGAGTCTGTTTATTCCGTTCTATGAATAAGGTAAAATGGAGAGGAATACATTCATTCAGGAAAAAGTCAAAACAAGATATCTTGTTTGTATGCAAACGAACGGAACTCATACCACTTCATCAACCGGTAACATCACCACAGGTTGCAGTGCGTTCCTTAACCCCAATCCAGAAACCATTCTTTTGCTGGGCAAAATGTCTCAAAGATTACAGACGGATATGCTTTCATTCACAGCTAGGCATGCTGTCGTGCAAAAAGTATCACAGATCCAGGTACTAAGGACTCAACTGTCCAAAGGATTATGCAAGAGAATATTTCCACCCAGAACTAGTTGAGACGGCCTACAACTTTGCCACGCGTTTCGAAAAACTACTACAGTAATAGGCTGGGTGCCTAAAGAGAGAATTTCTCTACTTGGGATTCAAGGGTAGATAGGATTGGTTCAGAAAACCCTAAAGAGTGCGGATGCTTTGCTGTCGAGAAACGGACGTAACGGCTGCAGAGGCAAACGTATTGTCGTGGCTTTTTGGATTATTTGACCAGCACGATGATGAGTCTGGCCCGTAGCCACAGCAGATGCGACGACTGAAGGCAAACAGAACACCGACTTGACAATAATGCATGGCTTGAATCCACGCCAATGAGAAATAAACAGTAAGTCTGGGAAATGACTCGCCTATAAGAATGCATATTTGGTTCGACATGCGTGCGTGTACTAGTGTGTGTGCATCAGGGTGGGTGTGACACTCCATCTAATCTCTCCAGGCCGGTTTCATGTTCATGCTTGATATCGACCCACCGATTTTGATATGCGTACGGATTGTTTCCAGGCCCGATGCTGGGCTGTCGTTTGCCGTGCCGACTGTTTTACTCTAGGATTGTGGATATTCGAGTTCAGTAGATGTGGACAGTTTTCGGAGTACGTGGCCCGAATGTCAACTCGCAAGGGAGAGAAGCTTGGCGCGGACGCTTTAATGACACTATCGCCAGAGTGGATTACTAAAACGAATTCTGAGATTGCTTAGTATACGCAGCTTCAAATTCCGTCGGTATCGTTTTCGAAACTGGACTCTTCCACTCACCCAGTTTCTTTTTTTCTGGTATCTTGATCAACTGTCGGATCGAGGAATGACAGGCTGGCGCTAGCGGGGGATATTCGACCGGACACTAGCTCCACAGGTGACATCCCAGTAGACTTGATGAATATATGATTGGCAAATGAAATCCGATAGAATTTAGTCTGATTCGTCGGGAATTCTTGTTTTGGAACGACTTTGTCGCAGCCAGTACTGCGCGTTCCGCATGACCATTCGATTGCCAGTGCTAAGGCTCCGAGCGGAAGCGTTGAATGTCGTTTCGGAATGGAATACCATTGTTTTCGGAATTTACCACCAGAAAAACAGATGCATACTTTGCCGGGCGTTGTCTCTGAATTGGTGCGGGTGAATGGACACACTAACTATCTGAAATATGGGCTAAGCAGCAGGGGATATACCAACCCACGTAGTGGACCAAAGTAGTCTCCGAGTATTCATTGACGATATTTCCCCGACCGTCGCAAGGGAGGGTTTGGTTCAGATGGTTTACGCTCCTGGTGCCGCTGACAGGTGGTTCATATGCTGAATAGGCGATCGTTATCTGTATCTGCTTTGGGCCAGCAAAAATATTCTCTAGTTGATGCGTCCGATCTCGTTACACTTGTGTATGTGTCACGCAGTTTTGCCACTGACCATTTTGCGCCACTCGATGCTCACAAAGATTACATGCGCAGGACTAACTCAGCTTTTCGAAACCTTTAGGATACTTTGGAATCAACACGGAGCATTTACAGAGTAAAAATTTTTGATGTTGAACGATAGCCGATCACTTTTTGTCCTGTATGCTGTTAACTAACTCAGGCAGTTCAGCTATTCCCCCTAGAGCATTTTGATGACATACGGATTTAAGAGGGTTCTGTCCAGAATATTGCCCAGGAAATATTTTCAATCTGAAAGAACCATCACCTACTCTTCGGGTTTTTACTGGAGAAGAGCTTTGTGTTTTCACATAGCCGCTCTCTCATATTGACGAAGGTGGAGGAACCCAATGGATTAGACTCAAAACGGTCCCAACTAAGGGAAAGCTATTGAAAGTACATTCGTCTGTTGATTGCTGATGTCACCGCATTAAGATGGTGAACAACACTGTTTGTTTGATCTTGGCGTAGCTTCAGGCTACATCCTCAAGTTACGAATATCTTAAACTGGGAGACATATTGAGTATCCATAAATATGTTTCTTATGAAGGAAGAGCATTGTTTAACATCTTTTTCTGTGTATAATAGTGGCGAGTTTTTGTACGATCGAACGAACAGATAATTTGAAACTTAAATATACATTCTCCTTCAGAACAGTGCCATCACTGGGAAAGTTTTTCAGGTCTCTCTGGTGATTACCTCTTTTAAAAGAGGATAAGGTCTTTTAGCTAACAGCACTGCAGAGGGTTGTGGAAAAGCTCATAGAAACGGTGAAGTCAGCGGAGGTTTGTTTTTCAGACAAAACACCCAGTGGTTCCCAAAAGGGATCGTTTATTGGTATAAAATTCTAGCAGATGGTACCGAATTCCGCAACCTTCCAGAATTCCCGATTGCTGTCTCAGAATAAATCCTGTTAGTTGAACATGAGCTGCTGAAGTTAGCTGTGGTTTCGTGCTTGCTCTAAGCTCATTTTTAAAAGCAAATTTTTCGTAATCCGTATCCTCCCTTCATTCCTCAGTACAGCCGACTTCGTGATAAAAGACGTATACCGACTAGCAGGAGCCCAAAAAATCCTGCGGCAATTAAAGTAGTTTCTGCGCGAGCTTTGGCTTTTCTCTTAGGTCAGGTTGTAACCTCTCAAATACAGTGTTTTGCAAAACAGCCTTTGCTCGCATTTGAAACGTTAGCCGTAATACGATAAACAAGGGGTGAATTTGTAACTTGAAAGATCATCTGCATGCTTCATGCTTCTATTAGCGTCGTGATGGCTAATCTATATGAGCACACGTATCGATTAATCATATGTTCTCAATGCATCGCCGATCTGCACATGATATTGATTATTCTTCTCTGTTTTCACTTGAACGGTGGTTTTCCACCATTTAGAATACTTTTTTGGTATGATACTCATTTGTAATTTGTATACAATAAATTTCAGACGCGCACAAATGGATTTCTCTGTCTTTCCTCACAAGTCGAACGACAAAAACTATTCTCAACACACTGTTCTCTCAGAAGCCAGGAACGGTGAATAAGTATATAATGATAGTCTGTTGTTTTTTGAGGATCAATGTTGATAGCATTTGAAGAGAATTGTCAAGTTGTTATTGTTCACTGAAATATGAAGTCAAGCACGTAGTCGTTCCCTGCGTCGAATTTGAGATTGCCGTAAAGCTAAATTGCTAAGGTATCTAACGGTCTGTATACTATTGCTGCGTTCCATAATTTTTGTCGTTCGAAATTACGTTTCTGCTGTATGTTTTGTTGGCGGCTGGCTTCAAGGTCGTTAAAAAACAGGCTCATGCTTTCAGAACAGAAGCGGCGAGTAAACTCTGCACAACCAAGAAAGCATACAGAAAAGTAGTGTGATGTTTTGCAGTCGGGAATTCGGGCTCCCATCGCACAGGTCTGTCAGAAAGCTCAGCATCAGGACCCTATTTCTTGTACTGCTGCTCACACTAATCAGAGAAAACGTAGACAGTTGAATAAGCTAGAAGGCAACCATCGTAGAGCACTCTTCGTCTCGGAATAAGACAACTAGCACATGGTGCACCAATTCAGCCAATTTATGGTGTACATTGTGAGATTCAACTGGCGCTTTCATTTCGGGACATGTGCTCAACAGATTTTCAGTGTCTTGCTTCAGCCTCAGTTATATAATCAATCCTTTTAGCAATCTGTAGACTTAATCCTGCAAATAAGCCTTTAAAACTGTCGATATTCAGTAGGCCAAATCAACGTGACCGAACCTCCGCCACTGTAGTGTGAAAGAAAAATAAACAGGCGAAACAATTAATAACCGGTAAGCAAATGTGGTGATTTATTAAAACTTTTCAGCAAGATGTTCCTATCCTTAGCTGTCCCGTTTTCTGCTGCTTAATTTCATTCTACTGAGTGAGGTTTCACAGCGTTTAACTGTAACAAATGCATCTTAACCAGTCTACCACAATATAAGTATTTATTTTCAAGCGGAAGGACAAATGTGCAGTTACCTTGCAAGCTCAGCACGTGTAACCAGATCCTGTGACATTTGACGATCAGTTTCCGTTTCTCGTAGTATTTCTCTAACTCGTCCATTAAGATCTCTAGCGAGCTGCTCCAACTGACGCACAATATCCCAGGCTTCTGTCTGAGTGACATTCAGCTTTGAAGACTGAACCGCCTGAAGTAACTGTAAGAGGTGAAAGCAAGCTTTTTGGTAGTCCAATATCTGCAGGAATAGAATGCTACAAACCGGAGGCTTGAGGCTTCCAACAATTAGTTAACTCACAAAACGGAAGGATCCGGTAACGGATCCGTTACCACGAGGACCAGTGGAACCGAAATGGGGAAAATCCTGTCAATCGCTCCAGAATGATTGACTTTATCTCCATTTGAATGAACTGTACTAAGTAGATTGATTCGACGATATGAAACCGAACCCCAACATTCTCACATTCAGACCATGTACAGACAACAGAAAACACTCATCCAAAATTCCTGCCGCGGTTACTTGTACTCTGTAGCTTTTGTTCACTGAGATTACAAAAAATCGTGACTAGTTACGCGGAAACCTGGTGATAAGCCATTGCAATGGAGTTTCGTGTACCAGAAACTAAGTTGAATGGGCAATATCGTGGTTGTCGCTCTGTTCGTTGAGCTTGGAAGTTGGATTACAAACCGTTTATCGCCAATCAAGGTGACATCGTCAGAGCGGGTTTGAGTGTTTGGTTGACGATATCACCTCGATTAGTGGTGGAACGTTTGCAATCCAATTGTCAAGCTTGATAAATCGACCATAACCAAGCTGTGCACATGAACTGCCTATATTTCGGTCTAGACCTTAGTATCGTTTAGATAAAATCAAAGCCCCACTTAGCAGCAAAATCGATTAGCTTCATAGTCCCTTACTCCAAGACCCCGATAGGCCTGCGGTAAGCAAGAGAAACTTGACTGAACATATGGTTAAAATACAAGGTAAAGCTTCGTAATAAGTTTCGCTTCTGTAGGGCATGACACTTTTTTCGCTCTTGACAGCCTAAGGAGATGTTCTCAGGATAAAGAAACGATATGCACTAGAATAACTCACTTTGTCGAACTCCTCTTTCGTCAAGTTTCCGTAGAGGTTCATGAAGTTACCGGACTCTTCAATCAGTGTAGTTGTGACGTTGTAAGTCAATTCTAGGCGTTCAGAGAGAGCGCGCGATGTGTTTGTTAGGTTTTCTACCGTCCCTTCGGCCTCTTTACGATCCGCGTGTACCTTCAAAATGAATTCAGGATCATCCCACAGAACCTTATGCAATTCCGGATAATGAAAACCAACTCCAAGATAATGAAGCATTAACACGAAATAGGAGGATCACTGAAGGATCACAGCGCAAGTTTATTTTGGTTATCAGGATGAGGGGCTTGTGGCTTCATGGTTGTAGAATACGCCATATTAAAATTTCACTGCTGCTCCTAGCCAACAAGTTACAGGGTTCAGATAATGTTTCATTCAGAGGACGCAAGTCTTTTGAAAAAATAAACATCTGCAAAAGTTAGTGCTTATTCAGCCAGTAAAAGTAAACCAGAGTAAGATGTACCCCAAACTATGGAGTGAATACTGGAATATAACTGAAAGAGTCGAAAATATGCCTTCAGAGTTAATTGTGCGCCTTCATTCGTGTGGATAAAAATAGTAATTTCAGAGTTTCCCATCCAAAGTGAACCTATTCCACGCTACAACGGTATTAGCATCAACAACAATACGGTATTTCAAAAGCTTCGAACTTTAGGACTGAAATCTACCTTTAGGATTAAACTTTCTGCACGATTGACTCCTTGTACCGCGTTGGCAAGCTGCGTTTGCAGATCAAGATTTTGTTCCATCAGCGTGCGAAGCCGACCACCGACACTTGCGTTACAACGTTCGTTCACACCACATCCGCCAATAAGACCAGTGTCGTAAGTGACCTCGACGGCTGGATCGGCTGTTGTTGTGGGGAATAGTACACTGGCACTCCGTGTATTACGTACGACACTCGAGCCCCGTGGTCCAAGCCAACGTGAGACCGAGTCACAAGCCGCGCCCCCACAGCTGGACGGGCAAACTGATATATCAGCATCCTCAGGCGGTGAGTCGTTGTCACCACATAGCTGATGAAAAAACCGACAACAAATGCTAGATTAGTTCAAACACATGGGCAAAGTCCGATAGTCCGTTTTATTTACGCAGGAAAAAGAACATCTACACAAAACAGGAGGGAAATCAAAAACTGGAAAACACTCAGGTTTCACAGCCTCGTGAATCAGTTTGGATGTCCCATATGAAGCTGACACCATCTAAATTGTTGGTCCAGCATCCACGTGGATCTTGAGACTAATGTTCGTTTGGTCGCGTTATCTCAAAACACAACTCCATCTAAAGATGAAATGTTCCACTAGAGTTCTTTCTTGTCAGAATAATACCGCGTAGTGCTTCCTAAAAACTAAAATACGTGGTAACCCACATATCAATCAATGATGGTGTGATGAACGTGCTGCTCTCACTGATGGGGCTGATCATCCATGAAGGGTTACATACGGTTCTTGAATGGAGTATCATGTAAAGGCTTGGTCGCCAAAATGTCTTTTAAGAAAGCGAGAGGTGCAGCTGACCGTTATTCCATGCATACATTGCAATCGCCTGACAGTTGGTTGTTATATCTTGAATATTCGAGGGGATTTCCACCATAGAGACTTTCGAAAGCACTAAAATAGGTGATTGCCTGGAGGTTTCATGTAAGTAAAGAACACGGTAGAGCGGACTTCTAGTGATAGAAACTGACATGCTAAGTTACCCTGAGAAATGAGGAACGACCTTGGCAAAATTAATTGATTAGTTAGCAGACACAGGCTGTGATTTAAAAATGATTTTGCGGTGTTGCTTGAGGGTTTGTAGAATGGTGGTCTTTATAGCGAGATGGTCTAACTGTTTACCGTGGATATCTTTTTAGAGAAATCATAAGTAGTCCTTGTAGAGAGACTGAGGCATTACAAGGCAACTAGGATGACCATTAATAAATGAAGACCGCATAGACCGTTTTCCATACTTGCACTTTGTTTAGAAGGAATACTGTAGGTCAGATTCTGATAACTTACGCGACGATTGGTCTGACGAATATTATCCCGGAAGTCCCCAAGTCGTCGATCAAGCTGGGACCAGTCATCAGCAAGCGCATTTCCTCTCAACCTGATCGCATTCACTTCGGCTTTGGCTTTGCTCAAATTGTCTTCCATCAAAGCACGTTGACCTTCAATTGTCTCCTTTATGCTTCTTACCTGTTTCTCTATTTCTGTGGCCCGTTGAACCGCCAGATATGCACCTTGTAAACCAAGAGATTGGAGTGAATCGATGGGGCATTGAAAGGATTATCACTGACACGTGTATTACTGAGTGATATATGGGGAATCAGATTGTAGTGATATTTGAAGCAGATGCCTCAGTAGATAAACACCATGGGGTTTTTAAGGACCACAGCTTAGTCGACCATTTGGTCGCACCAAAGGTGATTATTTTCACCGCGCTATTCACAGACTGTCAGGTTTCTGACGAGTTTGATTTGTGAATTAAATAAACCAATCCCTTTAGTCAAACATGCTCTACACAGAAGAGTGATAATCGACCATATGGTGCTGAGTTTATGAGTAAAAACCTTGAAATTGACTAACAATCGTTTGATCCCGCTATATTCAACGAATAAACCTCAGTTGGGGGCAAAACACCAGGTCAAACGCTTCTGCTTCTCCCGTAGCTAGTGCTTTAGAATACTGACTCAGGAATAACGTAAAAAATGAAATTGTGATAAGGTTATAGAAATAGAAAGGTAGATGCTAGGCGCTGTAGAGTTCGGAGGGCAAAACGCAAGAGCCAGATACAGTGGTGGGTTATCCCTGCTTCCGAAAATCTAGCACCATTTAGGCCAAATCCCAAACCTATGTGCAGATCGAGTGTTTGCACACCCATGAAACGTCCGAAGTCTTCAAGGGAAAAAAGTTAACCGAATATCTAGCGTGAATATCACTACGATGGAGACACTATGAATCGTGCATACCAACAAAATAGCATACCTTCAGGTAGCTGCGTTTCAGCCTTCTTGGCCTCTTCCAAAATGCTGTCCAGGCGCTCTGTAAGTTCGGTGATCTTCGTGTACAATTTAGCCACTTCATTCGCACGATTCATCTCTTCTTGCAAATCCACGTTCAGCTTTTCCGACAGGGCGTTCAAACTTTCCGGCGTTTCTTCGAACGAAGATAGTTCTTGAAGGGCCGAACTGTGGGAAATATGATCGTTAATGTTGATTTGAATGTAAGTTGCACACAGGCAACACAGAGTTCCCCCTAGCTCACAGCGACTCGCTCTCAGCAGTGACCATGCAGATATATCATTCCTAAAGCAATACGGCAGTATATTTTCATAAAGAAAACTACTTACGAGGTTGCTGAAAACGGTTCGACAACCCACGACCGGTTTCGCCTCTCTTGGGGCTCATCAGGTAGGCGCAGTCCCCGAGTTTCCGTCAACCTTATGTCCTACTTGAACCCAAATCGGACTGTTTTCGGGAAATACACTCATTTGCAAATCAAGTTGGTTTTCATGAGAGATTCAGTTGAGTCTCTCGTGAAAACCAAATTGATTTGCAAATTAGTGTATTTCTCAATATTCCAGTAGTTTCTTTCGAAAGTGTCTGCTTGCCTAAATTGACCAACTGGGCTTGGTTTTTTTCAGTGTAACACTAGTCTACGGTTGTCACCAGTTTCTGCGCGTTTTTTGCTTGCCGCATCCATCGTCTAAAAATATTATGTTTGTCACACAGCTAAAAGTTTGGATCGTCCAAAATATCGGTATTCCATTGACATGAAATTTCACTGTTGCGGCCTATTCAACTTCCCTTTAGCGAGTAACTTGAATAGACGCATATAGCTCACTAATTTGATCGATGCGCATCTGCCTTTAGACCCTTTGCCACAAGCGAATTCCTTAGGAAAGCTAAACGGCTTAGGCACCACAAATTAGAAATAGGATGTTAGTAAGGTGCTGACTCCCAAGAGGTCTTCCCCCGAATAGAAGCTTGCTTCCGAGAACGGCAGAAAAGATTTCGGTCTTAAATTTGTTTGGACCAAGAAGAGGACAGAAGGCTAATCACGACCGTCAAGAATTACCTTTGGTACACGCTACACTCCACTCCAACAGGTTTGCTTGCACAGCCAAAGAAACATTCACCGGGCCTGGATGACTCTGTCAATACCAGGAAACACGTTAGAATAAGGTTTTCATGGTTCAAATATTTGCAATAGCGGTTATCCATCGCACAGAACTCATATTTTAGAACGCTTATGTATGCACAAGAATGCACTGACATATGATCACGTGTTTCGTCCAAAGAAGCGCCGCAATTTACACACATCTTTTATGATCTAAAGCCCGGATTGAATCATATTAGCCCTGCCTATCCATCAGGCGATTTCAGGGTGTCGTTCCAGTCATTAGTTTAGATGACTGTTTGATTTCCACGATGTGTTTAGCGCTGAGAAAAATTGGGCTCCAATGTGTAGGTGCGGTTTCATGTTTGAGCATTCTCACGGACAAGCCCATTTGTCCAAAAACAGGACAAGTTGCTTACAAACCAACGATAAACTGAAGCATTCTGCAGCACTGGGCAGCCAAGGACTAGTTCTTGTGAAAACTGATCGAACACAAGTGGGTGATAAATGAGTTCTGTATGCTTATTTATCTAGACCCTAAAAGTCATTCGTTCCACTCAACGTGGGATTTTATCATCAGATTGACTGGATGAAAAAACTGGTAACAGCTGTCAGAGTGCTATGCTGTCATTCCTACATGGCTGATCGGCAGCACAAGTATTCCGCCTTTAGATAGGATGTAGCGACTGTCAACCATGCAATTCACGTCAAGTCTCTACAGCCAGATACTCCCTCAACTCCAGAGGGATAGCCTTTGTTTACCTATTAAGTTGTGGACAGAATGACTTGCAAGGCAAACCTGACCAGACCGGTCTTCCGGTAAGGTGATTTAAAGTCAATGACCACTGACTTCGTGTTGGCTGCCTTTCAAATCAATTTCAAGTCAGGTCCGAGGCTGAAATATTGCACGAGATCACAGAGTCACCGGCCGAGATAAACACCGGACAAAACAGTGAAAATACTACAATGCAGTTGATCTTACAATGAGACAACGCATGTCATGCGTACTTCAAGAAAAGTGTAAATGCTTTCTCAATGTGTATAAAATGTGGAATCTGAAAGTAATCATAAAAATCGATGGTCAACGTGAAAACGAAGCAAAATGAAACCTGGTGCTCTCCATCCTGGTGTGCCTGTGTGTTATTCTGTAATAAGTGGGCAATTTCCCGATGTACAGCCTAACTATTTTGCTCAAGAAACAAATAATGCTTCCTGGAACTGGATTGGTGCACCAGAAAGATTTGTTCAACAATCGGTGGCTTCGTGACTGGGCAATATCCCAATTGGACACAACTGATTCGGTTGGCCGATGGAGAGTCGATCAGCAAGATCTTCTTTGACTAGTACACTAAGTTGCTATTGGGGGTCGGGTGGAAGGGTTTTTAGGTATTGTAGTTGTCCAGGTCTCACGTCTGGCGGATTCGGGGGATTTGACATAATTGTTTTCGATTCTCTATTTCAATATATTTCAAATGGTTATTCTCCTTGCGTGTCATTTACGCATTCCGATGGTCTGTGTTGGATCGCAACTGCTATGAAAGTTCCGTTGGGGTGAGGATAACAAGGTATAAAGACAGTTTTCAGACGAGCCATAAAGGGGATGGTATGAATAGACCTCTATATGTCTATGTATCGGTTGAGGCAGAACCGTTCCACAGGCTATGTTTGGTCTCCCGTTGTTTCGGTGATAACCATGTGCTGCAAATCTGACTGTTTGTTCATCGTTATCCAACCACTCGGAGACTGATTTGGTCTGTATGAAACATTCAAAAAGTGCAAACTTGTGTCCATACTCAAGTTGATGGGAGTAACAACGTTCCCATTACATGCCTTTTTTGCATTGCTTAACTAATCACTTTAATCTATTTCCTTCATATTCGTTTTTGATTTTCGTGCTATTTAATCTATAATTTCGGCCCAACCACCTTGGAAATGCACTTGTTTGAAAGCATTACCAGTGTGCAACCCTACGTGCGACGAACAAGTACGTGAAATCCCGAGCGTTACAAGAGCTCCCTACCCACCTGGTGCAACGAACAAACGTACTTGGTTCTGTTGAGAATTTTTTGTAAATCTTCCATTTTCTGGTCTTCGATGTTCATCCACGGAACTTTCTCAATCTGTTGCAGTAGATCCACAAGACCGTTGAAAAGGACCTCCAAATCCGATGGCAGCTGACGTCCTGTTTGGTTTCGCAAGCGATCCAGTTCAGCTAGCAGTGGAGAGACAGAATGAGGTCATTACTTGAAAGAAAGGCAGCTGTGGCTCCATACACAGGAAGCAAGCGCTAAACTCAAACCATATTCTTCGTAAGGCTCAGTAGCAGTGGACGTAATTCACAGCTCTTTAGTTTGAAGTCATGTTTCAGGATCTATTTAATCATAGCATTCTATAGTCGCAACCCCTAGTGAGTAAACACCAGATGTGCCTGGTGGATCCTCAACCACATACGTTCTAAATGCAGGTTAGGTCTGAATAATTTAGGCTGAATGCAAGAGAATGAGTGATCACACGCGGTAGCTACTTCCGTATCACAAACAGTGATCAGCTAAATGATCATCATTACTAACTTCTATATGATCATTTCAGTAGTCAGGGAAGTGGTTTCGATGGTGTCACTCGAATTTACGGAATCAGTCGAACAGAAGACAAGACAAGAAAGGCAGCTACCGACCACGCTCCATTTTATATTTTAGAATGATAGCTCACAGGAAACAAATAGTCAGAAATAGCTGAATTTTTGTCCCTTTGGTCCTATTGACGATCTAGCTTGTTTATTGTGTATTCTGAGTTGAACAATAGTAAGGTCATCTGGATTAACCTACCTATGAAAAATACAAGGGTTAGTCATACGAATAGGGAACTAGTCTTGTTTGCTGCAAGTTGTGACCAGTGTGTGTTTACCTGTAACCTTATCGATCGCCTTGTCCCAATTAGTCCAACATTCTCCACATGGCCGACAGTTAGGCAGTTGGCCTTCTGTCCCACGATCGCACCGATCACAGCGACGTCCAGCGACTCCAGTGCGACAAGGGCATTGTCCAGTGACAGAATCACAAAAATCGCTGATTGCACCAGACCGGTCACAGTTGCAGGCTGAAAAAATACAAAAAAAACAAGAAATTATGAGGACTTGCTGCAACTTAGTGGCTAAAATTCAGGATACTCGCTCGAATTATTGTTATACCTTAGAAAATTAGTACCTGCATGAGGACGATTGGCAACAGACTGCTCGGGTGATAGCTTGTCTTTACTTTCTGGAAATTTAACAGACACATGAGAATCATTCGTGGTTAGTTTCTTATGCAAACCTAATCAGGAATGGCAATATCCGCAAAACAAAGCCTGATCATGAAGGTGACCACATGGGTCCATCTCTATCTAACCTATCAAATAATCATCGGAACGTCTGTCCTTATCGAAATCACAGTCGGTCAACCGTCCTACTTTTCGTGTGTGCGAAAGAAATGATCTTCACTACATATTATACGGAGTTCAGTCTTTTTCAGTTTATCCGCTTATTCACACCTCATTACAAACTTGGAAGAAGACAGATATGGCCAATGTTTTAGCGCCTTTCAGGTTGTCCTAAGGAAGCGCGTTCATCAAAACAAATCAAGTTGGTCTGGCCGAGACATAAATCATATGAGCAAGTGTGATATTAATTCTAATGCACTGGACCATTTCTATCGTCCTTTTTGCAGCAGTTAAGGGAATGAACACAATCAGAAAAGTCCGAGAATGTTGAAAAATATGGAGAAGATCGAGTGGGCAGGCTCTGAACCGGTTTGGGGTAGTTATTTAATGATTATCCTTTAACGTGTTGTAGATTTTGCATTGCCTCCCACATTGAGCGTGTCGGATATAAATTCTTCGATTGATCTGGGTGGCTACTAATTTTGCTGAGAAATAGACGGATGATTCAAGAGTCACTGTACCGTTGCATTTATGGTGGACTAAGCAGCACAACACTACATCGTAGATAACATAACTAGATGTGGGAACATTTAAAAGTGTGTTAAAAACCTAGCCGACAATGAAGAATATAGAAAAAAACAACTCGGGTGATTTTCTATGTTCCACTACTCGCGTCCCAGAGAGACATACAGGAAGATGCACAAAAGCTTATAAATTTCACTGCAATTTCGGTTGACGTCCCAGTGAATGAAAGATCGGTGGTCTTGAGTCGGATTGGTCTACAGCAATCCTCACAGATGATTGGCGTAGCTGGTTGCTGGGACATTCAAAGCTACACACGAATCGACTGCATTAGATGTTTTCCAACAAACGCATCTCTTTCCAATGAATTCGATTGTACAACACATTGCAGTAAAACTAATCAAATAATCAGCGCGTTGGTAGTCTTCCGTTTCAGCAAAATGCTGTGAAGATGGACCACAGGGGGGTTATTACTCATGCTTTCAACTGATCCACTCTGTCCTAGATTTATGCTTATCTCGCAGCTACACCGAAGCTTTTTTCTCGACCGATCTTCAGGTGAAACGAAACATAATATCTGCATTACCACGTGCGCATGCGCTGATTAACAGGGATTTCGACATTGAGGTTTTGTTTCTGAAGTCTGTTTTATATCGATCTATCTGAGTGAATAAACATAAACTGCCTACTGTATACGAAAATGCCGTGCCTCATCCTGATTTCCGCAGTGTTTTCAGGGTACGCAAATCGTCACATGACCATTTAGTGCATACTCAGTCATGGAGCTAGGAAATAAACACTGTACCGAACAAAAGAATCATGACCGTTATCGTTTGGTGACTTAATGCGACGGGATGTCACAAGAACTAGAATCCGGATAAAGATTTGTGGTCTTTTTGGAGGGTAAGATATTTACATGAAGAAGGGGTTCCTGAATATGAATAATTCAAAAACTTTCCAGGGTCATTATAACAAATATCCCTAGAGTGCTGATTATGGAAAATAGGCCCATGTACATTCGGAAAATATAATCCCAATGGGATTCTAAGATGGCTGCAATACCTCGAAGTAGACGGATAGACCGAAATAGGGAGGAGTACAAGTGAATTCTCCGTGACCATGCCAGAAACGATAACTTATTCTACACTCTTATGGGAAGCAGCGGTGAATCCAAGATTTGGAAAGAGATAGCAACCAATGGCTGGCCCATATAAAAATGAAATCTTGTTACATTTGTAGAAGGCTGTTATACGAAAAACGGCAGTGGTATCCTCCTATACAGTACAGCCCTAGAAACAACTGCCGTCTTTCATTTAGCTGGATCTCTGACGTGTTGAAGTGTACTCCAGAAACGGAACTAACTTAATTTTTCGAACGACTCTAATTGGAAGTCTTGTCTTTAGGAGCAAGAAGTGATCTGCTGAAGCTATCTTGTTTTTGGAGACAATATGGTCACCGAACAAAAGCTTGGTACCAGTTATTCAGAATCCTTTAAAAGCCGACTCTTCGTCGTTTAAAAGTTCAGTAAATCCATGTCTTCTATTTCTGCGCAGCACCTTGTCACGCAGCCTTAGGATAGAAACGTTGAATGTTGGATAAATACACAAAAAACCCTGGGGAGGCATACCCACATTTATGGATATTCTACTTTTGTAGACAGGTATCCCTATTGTGAGGCTGTGTTGTGCAGATTTCAAACAAATATGGTACTGTTTGTCCAGGCCAATCACAATGTTTGCCCCATATTTCCGACACCACGTGAAATTCGAAGTACATCATGTGATAATACGAATTGACGTCAATTACATAGAAAAAGGTCGTTACGACCTTGTGCAGTCGGTAATTTCCTGATTAGATCATGGCGATGGACTTGAAATAACTAGGCACCGCTGCCTCATTTTCTCGACGGTTTCGCTGTTTTGAACATGTTAAATGACACTCACGTTTGCAACCATCGGGTTCGTTCGGACTACCGTAGAACGTGGGACGACATCGGTCACATTTGCGGCCACTTCGATCCGGTTTACACTGACATTGACCGGTAATCTGAAATGTAAATAGCAATCAACGGTTGCTACCAATTCAAATAGTGATAAACTCTTAATCTGACTTGTAAGCTTTTTTGGAGTCTGACTCCCAACACGCGAATCATGGGATATCCCTACTAGAGACGACATGCGATATGAACGGTTGTTCCTATGAAAATCGTCACGTGGTACCATTTAGTGAGTTCCAGATTCTTAATATTATTCCCTCAAGCTGATCTGTTCCAATGACCCACTGAAGCGTTCCCCGTGTTCAGTCGTGCGAAAATTAAACCGGCCTAAATTTTTCTTACAGGTCCCGATGGTCAAGAATTTTCGGAGAAGTGAGCATGGACAGTGAAATTTAAACTGGATATGAACTGAGTATTAAAGTCGCAGACGTTCGTTTCCAATGAACGGCTTAACAGCTACTCTACAACTAGTATGCGTTGCCATGATTAGTTTCCTGGTAGCGAAAGTCTGTTGGGACAGGTGAGGAACCACAAAATACGGCCCACTGACATCCTCAAAACCTCACCTGCGGTAGTTGTTCTGCTGATCCGTCAGGCAAGTGTGTCAATTGGTTTTATTTGGTTAAAGCATCCAGCGCAACTGATTCGAAATCACCACATGGGCTTACGTCGACATTACAGTAGGTGGATGTGTTGTTACGGAACGTGATACGGAAGGTTCTGCTGATGAACCTTGAAGAAGTGAGAGGAATAAGTCACTGACCAAAGGCCGAGGGTTTTAGTTCAAACTAAGTTCATCTTGTGGCTTTTTTCAGAACCCAACAAACAGTGCTGCCAAACTTAAGAATACGGGTTCATGTCCGATAGAGCAACACCAAATTCAGTTATGAGAGGTGAGAGAAGGTGAGAAATTCCGTCTGCCCTCCAAACTTTCAAATCCTTGTTGTGAACATGTCTCGGCATTAGTTACGCTAAAGCGTGATAGGCTTACGAAGATATTCTACTAGGAATTTGTTGGTGGATCCAAAGGAGTCTAATGCTACGTCCTCATAGAACCGCAGAACGGGGTGTTTTCAGCGCATTTTTAATAAGAAGTTTGTGGCTGCGCATTTTTGGGTTAAGAAGGTCCCACGAGTAATGCCGTGGTATCTCATCCCGAAAAAAGATAAGAAATAGGCCTGGTAACCCCAGACATTCGCTCTAAGTGTGCGTGACTCTAGGTAACAGGGTATAAACAATCAAAAATATGGATATCGGTAAGGAAAACGTTCAGTCCATTGGAAGGGGAGCAAAAATTGATAGTGATAACCGGTTTAGCAAAAAAGCAGCATGAGCAGCTCCAACCAAATGACCCTATGTAATAAAGGGATAATCAGCTTACCGCATCGCACTTATCACTCACTGACCCCGTTGGGTCACACTGACACGGTTCACAACCTTTGCCAGAAGTCAGGTTGAAGAAACCCGGTGCACATTCGTAGCATCTTGCACCAACTACATTTGGCAGACAGGGGCACTGACCGTCATCACGATTGCATCCTGCCTTAGCCTCGTCTACACTTCCTGGAGCGTAGCAGTTGCATGGTTGACACATTTGCCTGGTGGCGTCACCCCAATATCCAAGTTTACACTGAAAAAAATTGTAAAGAAGCGAGAATAAAAATTAGCTGGATCACCCTATCGATGACACACGATTAAACGGATGAATTGATGCATCCAAAACCCCGATAACAGTGACGAATAGTTCAGCTCTTCCCAATGATTTTTGGCTAATATTATTGAATCCCGTACACTTTATGTTTGCAGAAGTGGATCCAAAGCACACACCACACTGTTTCCCTCACCAAAACGTTCGAACAAGATAGGAAAACGTCATGACACTAAGCCTGAGGAATCGATTTCTCAACCAGGTCTGAAGGTGAACAAACAGAATGAAGAAAGCGTGTAGATGCAGGAAGTATGATTCTTGGGTGTGTGACAGGTTACATGCATGAGAATAACTAATGTAGCTTTTGGTTTTACCACATCACATGTGAGGCTACCGGCAACACACGAACAGTTTTCCCCTAGGATCAATTGAACGCATTTAGTGGGTCAAACCTGGATGCTTCACATGTCGCATTATTACCAGTGGGCATAAGAGCAATTCTAGTGATCAAGGCTACTAGGCTCAGAAAGTAGGGCTAGATTTTCGCCTATTCTTTGCGTAATCCTACCTCGCCAAGAAGAAGACCATTTAAACTGAACTGTTGCAAATACTGTCCTTGTGCTGTAAATTTTCGTCTCGTCCAATCCGACACAGCAGATATTGCACGACAGTTCACCCAGCCCAATAGAAAGTTAAAGAAATGAATCAGGCAGCTGTCTGTGGTCTAGTGTCATATTTTTGATGAGTCTTACAATGTAATGTGACAGGTTGTAAAATTGCAAAACCGGACTCAAATCTTAGCACTGATGTAGGTAACATTGACGAGAATGGTCTCCAATCCATCTTGGAGTAATACAGAGGGTTTGAATTGACGAGAAGCGAATATAAATTAGATAAACAATCAGGTCCTATTACGGTATGGGAACTGTTCTGGAACAAACGATAGCCACTAATCAGTGCATCCTGAACAGTATAAAATCAGGATTATGGTCTAAGCTGTCCAAAAATATTGGTCTGTTCTGAAAAACACCAAGCAAGACCTAATCATGAATTGCGCACCAACGACTGACTTTAAGATGCTTCAGAACCTCGTAATAGCAACTCACCACATCACAATTAAAGCCTTCACTATTGTGCAGGCATTTCAAACAGCGTCCGGTTTGGGGATCACAGCCACCAGGTTCGTTGAGGGCAATGTTACCCGAACACTGGCAAGGACGACATGATCCGCCAAGTTCCGTAGGATTCCCGAAATAATTCATTGCACATTCATCACACCGCGCCCCTGTATGTTGAAAAAGGAACGGACACTGGTGGGTGTTTTTCTTCAATATAGAAATCAGAATGCAGTGTTGAAATCATACCAACTTACCTGTGTAACCAACTTGACAATAGCAAATTTGTTCTTCTAGAGGACCCATTCGACATTCCGTAGCATGATTGACACCTCCTCCAGGACATGCGCATGGTTTACAAGGTGTTCCACGCTGTGGATCACCGTAGAAGCCTTCTTTGCACTTTTCACAGTACATACCGCCAGTGTTTTCCCGACAATTTTCACACTGACCCGTAGTCTAAAAATGCAAGTTTCAAAGTGGACACATGATTTCAGGCATCAAGGTTTTCCATCGCTTCCAGTGGGATACAATAAAACATAAACAGACAAAACAGGAAAAAATAAAGTGATACGGAAGAACAAGCAAATTAAGGCTATTATCGTTGGAGGCATAAGTACGCTGGAGTGGTACACTTTGAGATGCAATATTAGGTCAGCTATCATAAGAAAAAATCGTTCAGTTGTGGTTCGCTTTCGGTGCCCAGCTTCCATGCCAACGGAAGGGGGCGTGAAAGTTAGGATAATGCCATACTGCCCAGGCTTAGACAAAAGCAGTAGAGATGCTGAGCTTGGGTTCGGACCATGTACCTTCCGGTCAGCAAGCTGACGTCTTAACCACTGAGTTATCGCGAGCTCTCCAGCTAATTTATGGGTAAGCGGTTTTAATTAAGAACGGTATTCCGCCTCTCAGAGAGCTCAATGTGTTGTGTCGTCCAACAGCACAAACACATATTTGATAGGGCGCGAAATGAAATCGCGAGTCCTAGGAACAAAGACTGTTATCTCTTTTCCTTGGTGATTTGTAATTATAGTCCGTTTCCTTTGGCCATTCCGTCACATTGATGGCGAAAGCAAACAATAGGTTCCATTGCTGATGTATTTCCAAGCACAAAATATGGAAAACTTACGCGCTACACAAAACATTCTGACGCGTGTGGTTTGCGCTTATTTTATACCAGAAAAATGTCTGATGATCCACTAAAACTTATGAAAGTTCAGCTAAGGCTGTGCAGTACTATAATATCGTACTGAAGAAAGCTTTTGGTACCATGGACTGTAGCTAAATGTATCCAATTCTAGAATCTGTGTCCAACGTTCTAACTACTTACGTCAAAGTTGCATTTCATGCTAAAATGTGCTTGTTTACAAACTTTGGTGGACTGCACAATATGCCTCGAACAAGGCGAACAACCACCAAGTATTTTTAATCGATATTTCATCTCCGAAGTGAAATCAACCTTTGATGAGGATCTCGAGGATCTCTGTAAAGCTGTTTCGTCCTTATTACGAATCATCAGCAGTACGCACCTTATGAATCATCAAGGGATCAGGTATTAATGAGTTATGCTAACAGAGAGAAAATAAGTTATCAAATGCATCAATGGATAATTGAGGCAACGTGTGCAAAACGAAGTCTGATCACGCGGTTATACACCAGTCTTCGTAAAATTGCACTGGCGACACATTTGCTAATGCTGGTTGCCGATGATATCGGGTGCAGACTGACACAGTAAGGCTGGGTGGTGCTGCTCACAAGGCATAAAGTGTTACATGTTCTACTACAGGGGAAACTTTATTGTCGAACAGGGTTTTCACTAATACAAAGTTTTATACTTAATTAACTGTGATACGACTGATAATGCTTCGCTTGTCTCACTGCTCCTGAGAATTTCTGTTGCAAATAAAGGGGGAATTTCGCTATAGTGTCATTTCTCGATCGAGAGTTCTTTGGAAACAGAACTTGCAGGATCCTAGCAGCTGATAAGCCGGAGGTATAATGACCCGGTGACAAGTATTCTGGAGAGGAGACTTATGGCATTGGTGAATAGTCTCCGTGAAACCGAATAATGCTGGTGCTGAATGGTTAGCGTTAGAGTAAGGGCCTGACGTCGGGTTGGTACGCCTCTATTACGGATGAATTCAGGTGATTTTTCCCCAGTGCCGAGCCCGGTGATTTCACCTGATTAAGCAAACATCCGGTTGACGAGCTCGCCTAATTAAACCTCACGGTAGCCAATATGTACCTACTTTTACGTTGCCATGCATGACGTACATAAGTTGCTATAGAATATCTGCTCAGGACGCAGTGTTGTTCGTTGGGAATGAAGATAACAGAAAGGCTTGGAAGAGGCTATTAGCCAGTGTCGTCAAAATTTGACTTTTAAATTAATAAATGCGTGAAAGCATCAAAACTCATCGCATTGAGTAAGGTTACCGGTGATCAGCGGTTTGGTTGTGTGCTTCTATGTTGGCTTGTGCACAGTCGAATATACACACAAAACAGAGCATCCATTGTTGGTAGTGTGAGGAGATTTGGGATTTTTGTAGGATTTCGTCCTGTGAGTGAAGCTAATCTATGCTGAAAAGCCGAGAAGCACTGTACAGCTGTTTCGTTCTTATTGGGAATCATCAGCAGTGCGCATCTCACGAAACTCCGAAGAGGTCTCGGGTTCGAGACTCTCAGTTCGAGACTATCAGTATGCTGATGAGCTAGCTGAGTTATTAGCCTACTGTCCACTGGTGATCGAGACCACCCAGATTGGTGATCTAACAATGCCCACTTGATTTCCTTCTTTTGGGAATCATCAGCAGTGCGCATCTCACGAAACTCCGAAGAGGTCTCGGGTTCGAGACTCTCAGTTCGAGACTATCAGTATGCTGATGAGCTAGCTGAGTTATTAGCCTACTGTCCACTGGTGATCGAGACCACCCAGATTGGTGATCTAACAATGCCCACTTGACGCTTCAGACTACTACCAATTAAGGTGCATTGCTAGTTGAAGGTCACTCATTTATTCGTGCTTACATTAACTGGTGTGACGCAGTCATCGTGGACAACTATAAAACACATCCTCCTTCTGGAAGAACTCGAATGGTCAGCAACAGTTCTGGACAAGAAGTTTCATCTTGGAAATTTTCACTGCAAGAAGGAGTGGTATACCGTACAAGACTAGGAAACGCTATTCTGTATTTGCACTTCGATTGCTCTTGATCACATGGCCCTCCCTTTCTTCTAGTGCGGTCATTCAAACCTACTTACAACAGCACTACCACAAACAAGAGTTTTAATATAGTCTGTCACTTGGGTCATCTTAATTTGCCAATTGCTGCTAAGGTTTGAGTTGAGTTCGGAAGTAAGATTTACAGAGGTTCAAGGACTGAGTCTTAGAAAGCGGAAGTTGACAGTGGGCTGTCCGGGAGGTTTTATCATTCTTGAAGGTGGTATCCTCTTCAAACACAATATTATCAGCCACTTCTGATTAAAAAAAATCATTTCCAAAAACACCCAATCTCCTCAGTAATAGTTCCGAAGGGTCACATAGCTGCCATTCCATGTACTCCGTCCACGGTGTTAATGAAACATCTTGAATAGCTGGTAACCAAACGTTCTCGCGTAACACAAAGTGCCGTCCCTCTCTTGTTGGTGTCTTGTTCTGAAGGACCCTTTTCCTAATAAATTAGCGTTGAAACCTCCTAATGCTTTGGAACACTTGAGTGGAGTTCAGCAGAACTCTCCAAAAGCATACAAAATTGTTGCGAGCGTGTACTGTTACTAGTGGACTAAGACAAGACTATGGCTTGCAATCATTCCTGTGAGAAACACTGAAGCAAAAAGTCTAGGTATGAATATTCCTGACGCCAGTCAACAACCATTATTTCATAGGACTATTTCTCCGAGGTGATTGCTCCCAGTTTCTCCAACATGTGATCCGCACATCCTCTGTTGACTGCATCAAAGCATCAGTGTGAGCTGTATTGGAAGAACATCACACTACTATGAAATTAACAGTAGTAGGAAGCAAGTTGACCAAAGGAGGACTAAGTTGCTGTAAATATACTACCCTTACCTGGTTGCACATGTTGCTCATCTCGTTGCAGAAACATGGCTGGCACCGCGGAAAGTTCCAAGTTCCAGGTTTACAAGTATCACAATGCTTTCCGACGATTCCTTCATGGCACCGACACAGTGTGGTTTCCGGATCGCACTGAAGACTGACGGAACCCTGAGGGTTACAGGCACAGTCTGTAGCGGGCAGGGAAAAGAAAACAGCAATGTGTTCGTTAAAAACAACAAGAATGGAACGGTCCGGGTCCCCTAAGTTTGAGAACTGCCCATAATAGCTTCTCTCTTGATACTTTAATTCCAATGCTCTGTTGGCCAGCAGAGCGCGAATATCAGAAAAACGAGAATGGTGGTGGCTCACTGATATATGACTGACAAAAAAACCAATCAGTATCACTTAAAATAGAACGAATAATATTTCAAAAAAAAGAAGAATCTCGTCTTGCAAATATAAATTTGAGGCGCGAATTTTAGCGTGGCGTTTTAGCCATTCAAGCATAATGATCTGTCATTTGGCTTGAGCTCTGGGCTCACAGATAACCATTTTTGTTTCTATCAATTTTTATACCAAAGCTTGGTCACATAATATTCATTTTGCTTCGTGTAGGTTGCTTTACCTGCCAGTCAGCTTGGTAGAGAATTCACCTCAGACAAAATGGTTTCCAAGGAGTCAGGATATTCCGCCTGTTACTTTCATCTTGAAAGGTAAAGCGATTCCATGACGAGGAGGACTACATAGGTTTCTCATTCTTACTGGTAATCATCAGCCTAAACAATCTTACTGTGTGTCTAAGTCGTATTCTTATGGCTGTCACTCATAGAAAAACGAGACAAAAGATGGGCGTTTTAGTCTATAGATCTTTAGACCAAAGCTTGTATTTTGTAGCCGCTGGCAATCTACTTAACTGTTTCCAGCAAATTCAATACTCAAAAACTGCACAAAACTCCGCTCGGTCCTTCTGTTTAACAAGAACCGAGTAATAAGTTGTATAATATGAAAACTTCTACAGTCAAAACACGGCGAAGTGGAACGGGTGCACGCTTAGGCGCTAGAGATAAACACACGACCGAAATGCGTCAGCTGTAATGATAGAGCCAGCATCCCGTCTATCTGGCCTCGGCTTACTGTACGTCTTAAAGGATACAGTGGCCGGAGATCAAGCAGGAATCCCAAAAGCAACACAACGGCAAACGGAGGCACAGAATCGCGCGCGCACGCACACAGAGCCATGACACCCATCACACATGCTGGACTCATGGGATTGCCAACTGATCTCAGAAACACATCATTCAGAAGATAACAGACCCAAATAACGTTGTACTTGACTTGCTTCCAATTGATTTTATAAATCCCACGGAAATCGAAAGTTGGATCATAACATCTTATTCCACGACGCTGCGTTATGACTTTAAACATCCCACACAAAAACTGCATGTTCGAGTTATCATTCTCCAAACTACCATGAACCTAATCCGGAGATGACCTATCAAAATAATATTTTGCTTTGGTTTCTGCGCCATTTGTAGCTTCTAAGTGGAGGGGAAATCCATTTGAGAGGTACACCAAATGCAAACTCTCACTAATGGGTGAATATGAGAATCTTACTGGTATTCTTCGTGAACAAGCATTTAACTTTCGATTGATGAGATATATTGCTTGTCAAAGGGAAATCGTAAGTTTCGCTAAAAAATCGATCCAAACAAGACTAATTAACTCAGTTGAAAAAGATAATAAAATGGTGATTTCTCATCAGAAATCTCCACATGAATATTGTTCTGTCACAGTTCGTAAGACCAATACTGGCTGGTGACGAAGAATGATAAGCCCTAATAAGGGTGGAAAATTTTACATTCCCTACATCATGAATGTTACCTCAAAAAACTCCATTAAATCGATAAAGAATTCGATTTTTTCCATCACCTTAAGCCTCAACGATACGTTGAATAAGGAGAAAGATGTACAAGATAAAGCAAGTTGTATAAGGTGTGTAAGTTGAACAGATGAGGACCGTCACAGTTCTCCCTCGTGAGGCAAATGCCTTGCAGAAAACAGTCACGCAGATTTACCTTTGCATCCTCTCGACCCGAACTCGTAGTGATAAGGCGCACAGCGATCACAACGTCTCCCCACCACACCTGGCTTACAGACACATTGGCCGGTCATCTTATCACAGACATCCGTTTCAGACCAGGTGGTATTACAAAGGCAACCTGTACCAAATGGAAAATGTGGGAGCTATTGAACATGTGAACATGTACGATTCACACATTGTGTTATGCATGTGACACGAGGATGCGTGACTGTCTAGGCACGTAAAAATGGCAGCTCAACAGTTGTGGAAAACCAGAAATACGGGCCACTCCATTAGCATGAAAAGATTGTAGATGCAGATGTCACTAGATCAATCCTACGGATATTTTCTCAGGAATACGGTGACTATTTGTTGCGATTTTAAGAAAAGGCTGACAACATTGGATTCTTTTTTAGTATGACTGATGGATTTAGATAATACCGGATTTAGAGTACTTGTTCCCGGGAATCCCGTTTGTTCTTGTGTAGGCTGGGCCCCGTATTCCCATAAATGGCATTGCAATCGGTGTTGTAGCATTTAGTTTGATTGATTGATATTCATGGATTTTGCGCAATCATGACGATGCATGAGAAGTTAAGTCATAAACTTCTCGCCAGATGTTTTCACATACCGTTTTTTTCAATCATGGACTGTGCCGTCGTTTGCCCTCATTCTAACGATTCTACCAACCGGGTCTTTGTTGGTCTGAACACATGTTGGGGCTCTTCTTTAGGTCAATCACAAAACGGTTCTGATCTGCATAGTCAAAACCAGATGAACTTCAGGTTGGCTTTATCGCAGCAAACGGACATGATGGATTCACGTAGAGGTAGACAATTTCTTCATCGGTTGGCCGGGTCTCCGATTACTGCTCAAGCATTCCTCTCTGAGTGAGTTGTCACCAGTGCTACGCTAAAAACCGAGATCCATGCCCGAAGTTATGCGGTTTGAATCATTCTTTAACATACCTTCGTGACCACGCTGGTTATCGACATCGATTTGTACGTTCATGTTTTCTCTTCCTAAATGACGTCTACGGAATTTGAAAGGAGCCTTCAAACTAGTGCCAATGCACACAAGTGATCTTTTTTCTTCCCGAAACTTTACAATGTATGTGCCCTGTAACACAAAACTACAAGGATTGCAAGCGGATGCACAGTTGCAACAATTTCATCACTTACGTTCAGCCACCGATCCCGTTTCGCGCCAGCTCACTCGCGGTAGACGGAAGTAGACCTCGCACTCTGGTGGTAGGCCTCTTCGGTCCTCGGTCCGTCCAGACAATATGTCCATCGCGAGTTCTCTATATACTTCACATCGGCGAGCTAGTCCGCTATCGTCCGTCGGTACCAAAACAATCTACGATAGACATATACCAAATAAACGGCCCTTTATCAAGACCACATCCAAAGGACTGATGATCCACTTCCGTTTTATAAACAGGGCCAAATTACAGTAAGGTCAGAATGAACAACACGCAGACAGTGGAAATTTGAAGACATTAGGTTGGCTGACAGCCATGGTTTATAATAAACAGTCTCCAACAATTTGCTGCGAGAGGAAAGTAGCATATAAACAAAGAGCTTTTAGCGTTCTGCCGTGAAACTTGACTACTTCAAGAACAACCAGACTGTGGACAGAGTGATTCACTCGCATTATATGCTCTAAACCGTCGCACTCAGTTGTGCACACCCGTTTTACCTACCCGATATCAGGAGTCCGGGGTATTGCTCATTTGCTAACTTGGATTCTCGTGTTTGGTAAGGACAATATCCTAGCCGTCCAAAACTACTTTCTCTGTAACATTTACATTCAACGTGAACAAAAACCGTTTTTTGGCCGTTGATGTATTCAACGAGTGGGTGACTCGGTTTCAAGCATTCCGTCACCGACTTCAAGAAGCGTTATCAGTGCGTAGCATTGTAGTTTTGCGTGGTCACAAAAAAGTCATAAAGGACCAATGGTCTACCTTACACTGATGATGACACTCTCACTGGTGACGGAGCGTTGGTGACTCAGCTCATCGAACAGACAAACGGTCATTTTTATAGTCAGATGTGCCTGCAAAACGTAAATTAACCGAAGTACTTCCTCTGCTATGGCAATCCTAAGCCGGTGGCCACTGGGTTCATACAAAAAAAGAGGGAAAATCCTACGAAATACACTCAGTTGATAATTGCATCGAAGTGCTCTGTCAAGGGATGATCCGCAATGATCACGCAATTTTCCCCGAGTATGTTGATCCGATCACCCCTTTTAAACTAAAGATGATGAAGTAAAATACTATGTAAGTGGCACGACTATCATTTTTGTGAAACCGCGTTTGGCTTAACCAAGGCTGTTAAATGTTTTCAAAGCCACACTTCGGTGAACCCTTGGAACAAACAACAATTGAGAAGAAGCACCACTGTCGTCCAGGTAGGCTACTGAAAGTTTAAGACTACTGCTTGAGAATTAAAATAACTTCGTTCGTACTGCTAAATAGACCCTAATCTTGCATTTCGTCCGACAGGGGGCTTGAGAGCCCACAATGGGAGTTCAGGTCAATGTGTTGATGATCTTCATTGATCTAGTTAGGACTTTAAACATACAATCCGTGATCGAACCTACACATAATCCGCACTAGACAAGTCGTCGAAAACACATGCTCACCAAGCATTTCTCTCAGTGTGTGAACAAACATTTTGATTCCCATGTAGAGATGAAAGAAATGTTTCAGTTCTTACAGTATTGCGCCAGAATTCGGAAAGTACTATGATACTGGTTATGCCAAAAGCAGTGCTCCCCTCAACTTCATTGGATGATCCGGCGACTTAGCCAGCTGTCGCTTTGTCCTCAATCAAGCAACAAAAACAGACGAATTATCACTATTTTCAATGCGCAACGTTTCTTTGACAGCCTTTCTTCATTGGAAAGAAATAAAATTCCACAATGAATTGCAAAGTTCAAACTCTCTGAGAAATAAGTTTCACACTGTGCTTAAAGGTCGCAAGTTTAGACTCACATCTGTGATGAGTATTTCCGTGTAAGGTCCACTTGGTTGGGATTCTGGCATAATTCGTAGCACAAGAGGTAGTCCCGCCTCAAGGCACACATCGGATATGATGATTTTGCTGGTATCTACGGTAAGTCAGAAGGTGAAGGTGTGAGTAACATCTCTCTGACAGAAAACTGTTATGGAAAGTCTATTTCAAATGGCTGGATTTGGGTTGGAATGATTTGCCACCCGAGTGGAACACCTCCCTTGTTTGCGATATTTAGAGCGGAGTTGCAAGTCAGTACGATTATTTTTTATCGTGGCAATGAACATCAGCGCTACCTAAATACGATCGATTAGGGAGCTCAATCCTCTTGCTGTTGGTGAACGTTTCTGGTTCCAACTGATCTCATGAAGAAAGCTACTTGTAATGTGACATTCATTAGTAGTAAATCCAGTTAGGGAATTATGATGGTCTGCAGCTGCAACTGGTTTGTCGTTCGACAACGAGAAAGTAGAAAGTTCATTCTTCGGTAAAGAAAATAAAAACAAAACATACTTGACAAACCATAATTACTAGGTTTCTTGAGTGCGGAGAGTGTACTGGAAACCAAAACGCCAAACTTTGAGGAAGAAAACGAATTACCGTTTACTACGCCTCTTACTTTAACAAGTCAGCTTATCAGACTTCCCTCTCAAACTTTTGGAGCAAAAGTACTTACGCAGCTGGGAGTTCATTAAGCAGCGAGGTAGGTGCCACGATGCAGAGTATATTCATCTTGCTGGTAAACACCTTTAGTTTACTTAATGCAAGCGTTTTGTTCTACCATTGGCAAATATCGATCTCTTGGGACGACGTCGGAAAGTATGCGTAGCACTAGTCCTGGCTTCGACTGAGCTGAAGAGTTTTGTTCATTTCTCTAAGACGTATGATTCAGTCTAGACCCCTTGGTTAGAGCTGATTCACTGCAGAGTTGGACTGTCAAACTGTCACTGGATTGTCTCTTAGTTTGATATACTTTCTAATAGACAGACAATATCTCTTCAGAAAGAGATGTTGGTTGCAAAAGATGTATACAAGAGTGAACGTTGTGAAATAAAACATATGGTGGAAATAAAACATACTCTCCATGGGTGGATTTTTTTCTGCAGGCGTTGTACCGATACTGACGAGGAAATCTACCATTTCACCAGTACAAAACATTAAACTGTGTGCAAATTGCAGTCGATTAATCTCGGAAATAATCTGACAAACCAAATTATCTCTAGTCAAGAAGATATGGGACTCTAATTGCGCAGGAAATTCTCCCTCCACTTGTCCCTTTGGAGCGGATATGTTGTACAGATAGGTTTCAGAGCGAGGACGTGAGCGGACAGGCTACTGTGTTTATTCTCTGCCTCAATGGGACGTGCTACCTGAAAATCTTTTTCCGCCTGATAATCGATGTATACCGAAATGTGTAGTCTGGGCTTACTAGTCATTCTGCTCATTCTCTTGTGTGACATCACAGGAAAGTCAAAGTTAGTCATCTGATTAAACGGGGCATTTTGATTCCTAGCAGGGTTGTGCTTGATATGCGGACGAGTTGACGAATTTCGAATGATATGATGTGTCTATAAGTAACCGCCCACCTTGGTATACATTGACAGTCTGGGAAGGGTTCTGACAACGCGTTGCTCCATGTTGATAGGGTTTCACAATGATTGTCCACTGATCTCCTTCTCCAAACTGAAACGGAGAAATAAAAGGTTCAATACCGATAACCTAGACTTATCAACCATTGAAATTTCAACGCTGAACAGTTCCTAGTCTTGCTGGTATGAATGGAAATTTCAGCATAAACGTTATTAGTCAGAGGGCTTTTTTGTTTCAAAAGACAGTAGAATTATTCCGCTTGCCAAGTTTATTCTGCACAGTATCTTCATTGAATTGCAGTACCGATGAGTAAACCATCCAGGCATTCGGCAGTTTCCTAAATTCAAAATGATCCGAATAAACGCGACAGTGACTTGACCAATAAAAAGGACTTCCCAGAATATACAAAGAATTGGCTTCTTACTTTTAACATTTATGCGAATTTTCCATTTTATTTGGTCGCCAGTCTGATGTCACCACAACTGTTTGAGCAAAGCAGCGAGGGATTAGCAGATCAAAGTGAAAACCGTTCTGCTATTGGAAATATACCCAATCGATATGGTTACCTAGTGTCGCGATCGGTCTACAATACTATACGATATTTCGCCACATATTCTTGTCGGTGCACAAGGTACGACTGACTCATGGGCATGGCATGACTGTTCAGAAGATTGGCAACTGAACGAAATTTTGGGACACGTTACTAACAGTTCGCATAAAGTAAGGGTTTGTATCCACACTCGACCTCCACAGAAGCTGTCAGACGTCTTCATTGAGTCTCATTCTGCTGAATGCTGTGAATATCATCTTGGCCGTGGACAGATGATTATTTTATTTTGGGCCACCGCGGTCCCTTGAATGACTACAAGATTGTAACAACAATAGTATAGTCACCAAACTTTAGCAATTGCAAGAGCTACAGCAGCAAATCGTGTGCTAGTTTTGTCTCAGGATGTTCACACCGCGGCATGCGGAACGGTGCAGACCATCAACTTCACAAGTTTGGTCACCATGAACAAGGTAATGAAAGACTAGCTCATTCTTGTACAGATACCTGCGTAAGTCAACCCTATTTTCTCTCGGAAGAATTAGTCGAATACGAGGAGTAGAACAACCCTTACCTGTCCTGTGAACATAAGCACGTGGTGTATTTCGATTCTGTGGTTGTTTAGACATCATAACGTACCCTGGCGCGACCACTTGCTAGCGTCAACCTGAGGCAAAACAGATCGATTTGGTGTGGTGAACGTTCATCTATGGGTCGCTCTTCATTGTCTGCGTCAATAATTTCACAGCGCCTCCATCTTTGAGAAGCTTAAACCAAAATACCCACAGGTTCACAAGAAGAAATAAGTGGTGAATGCCAGTGGGTGAAAACCTTACGACAAGTGGAGACGCAACAACACTTATAGCGGGGCCGTCTTTTTTGTACTTTATAGGCCTCAGTGAAATGTCTGTAGGTGTTATAGGAATTCTAAAGCTAAATTCAGTTAAATGGAGTTCACAGACTGTCGGTGATTTATCTAGATAACTTACTGTGCCCCTCACCAATCTAACTACTCTCTAAGACAAAATGACTCCCCAAAATGATGATCTGAGTTGATTTTATGCCCTTTCGAAAAAAAATCCATCCCGAACAACCTTTTGACAAAACTAACCTAAGTATCAGCATACAGTTCACAGGATACCACTGAAGTGTTTCTGATCAACTCACTTGTTTTGGGTCCACGTCCAACACAATGACAAATCGTCCCTCGCCTTTTGGACCATCAACTGTTATCTCCTTCTCCGCGCTGCCGTCAATAATTTCAGTTGGAGGTACAACATAATACCCATCCTCTACTTGGGCACAATCACGTCCTGTGAAGCCAACTTTGCATTCACATTGACCAGTGGCCCGGTTACAATTGGGGTTCTTTGCACCAAGCTGACTGCAGGCACATTCTTGACAGCCGAGCGGGGCCAGAGTCAGGTTGAAGTAGCCTTCCTATGAGGAGGAAATGACAGCTTGGTGTCGTTACTCAAAATATAGCAGACGTGAATTTCGAAAGTTGATTACGATTTTCTTTGATTATTGGAAATACCTGTGAGTGGTATTTAGGTGATTTAGCCAACCGACGTGCAACAGCTTTAAACTTTAATTTTAGTGTAACTATCATCATCTGTTAACGACGTTCGAGATTTATTTCAGATACTAATAAGGTATTCTCCATCTATGTTGTATTCGACTGCACAAGTGACCATGAAGAGATTCATGTCTACGGAATAACCATGTTCTCAAATAGCGCGTTGATCTCCTATTAGAAAGAGAAACAAAGAGAAACTCCAAGATTTCGACAGACAGGTTGTTCATTGCGTGGCTCCACCTTGTCGCGTGTTGTTCAATATTTACGTTTTAATTTCAATGCTCGGATGTATCAGACCGGCTGCCAATAAATCGACCCAACACAGTTTTGTCGCAATACGCTGATATTGTATGGTCGAAAGATCTTACTAGATACCTAAATCAGTACAACCCGCATGTGAATCCCTCAGTTAGATTGACCAGGCTTTTATTGTTGAAAACCGAATATATCAGTTCAAGGATCATGTAACATAGAGAAAGGTAGCTCGTACTTTAGGTTGCCAAGTTTGCCACCTTGGTGGCACCCCTCCGCCCCCTCCCCGGGTTCGCGTCTAACGACCCATAGTTTCATAAGCCTACCAATCTGCCAGATTTCCAGTAGAATATAGCGATCTAACAATACAGAATTTCAAACAGACCAGAGAATTCCTCGTGCGTTTTCTCGACTTCAACGGGTGCCAAAGAAAGCGGCATCCAATGTGAATTACTTGTGTGACAATGGCTATTAATTGTTTGTGACAGGTGAACATTAGCCTATACTGTGTTGCCGTTTTCTTATTCAAGACGTACAAAGCTAACTCGGGTGAACTGACAGTGGTTTATCACATTTAGCGTTTAAAATCTGAAAACAGATATTTGGAATATCCGTGTTTCTGGTGATCCCACTGCCCGTTCGAGGGAACTCGTCATTTGCGATGGGTTTTAGCATGAATTCCGCCCTTTTATAAAGCCAATTGTACCCACACAATTTTGAAACACATGTTCGAATATTTTATGGAACCAGCTGGCGACAGCAACGTAAAACCGGTGTTTAGGTGGTGCGCGAATGTGGAAATACCCTTTATAACGGTATGCTGATTGCAGATTACCATAAGGCGGTGATCATGCAAGCAGACTCCACAGTAAAGAAACAGGGTATAAAACATCCTGAGTTATAAGTATCTCAATAGGACTATCCAGTCCCGTCAACCACAACCACCAGCGGCGCTCTCCAGGTTATGCAGACAGTGACGTTCTCTTTTCAGGGTAGGTTGGATGGCCTGTTAACACAGCTTTGTGGTCTGACATAAAGTCCAACCAAGTTGTGTTTTGCATTGGGTCGATTCCTTGTGCTGCTTTTGTTTTACATCACACGAGAAATCGCAGTTCGGTGGTAAGGAGACAAGACTCATTTGATGAAGCACTTCGGTGTCCCCTACTCATGTTAACTTACAACAATGCAATGTCTGGCTTAACAAGACTCCAAGGGTCATCGCTGTGAGACTGTGCCAACAATTTAGATGTGTGTAATGGTGGTGGCAGATCTAGGTATACTTTAGGGAACAGTATAGGTGAATTGACAATACCGGAGCCTTACTAAGGCTATTCCTCGAATGCTGAAGAAGTTCAATCAATTAAAGAGGATGTGCTTCTGTTCTATTGATCATGGGAGTCTTAGAACAGGTGACGAACCTTCTCAGCTTTGGAGCAAAAGGGAGGGTTTGATTGACATTTGATGAAGTCATTCAATTTATGCTTCCCTAATCGCACGTACAACCATGCAGCACAGCTGTGTAAATAAAAAAACAGCTACACGCATTACTGCAAACCATACAAAGTTAAATTTTTGCTGACAGTCTCAACTAAACCTACAGAAGTGATTTAGCTTGACGAAGTGAATCCACTGTGCCTAGTGAAGGTTATTATAGGATTAACACTGTTAACAACAGGCATAGTTTACCTTACAATGAAAAATGATTGTAGTCCGTGGAAACAACTATTACTCAACCGTAGTCCCCTAACCAGCGCCTTTTTCGAGTTATACTTTCTCCATCATTAACCAACTTGATTGTCAACCGAATTATCTGACGCTTTACTCTCTTCCACCTTGGCCACATCATACTCCATCCTCATTGTAATATGCTCTTTAAAGTTGACTGTTGAGTTTTGATGACCAAGGTTGAAACCAAACTCACTTAGACCCCAACTAACTTGGGCCAAACACTCACCAGGCATTGGTCACAATTTGGTCCGCCGACAAACCGTTTACATGTGCACAAACCCGTGTACGGGTCACAGCCTCCGTTGTCAAGCGTACCCATCATGTTGCACGTGCAAGCTGAAAAAAAACCGTTCCACGTATGTGTAAGTTTCCCGGTAAGAGCAGGGCATTAACTACCAAAGTATATTTTTGTTAGCCCAAACAGCCACTAACCGCCTCATGACTTTTCGGCTGAACCTACAGAGTTTTCGAAACCCTGATATCTGTCGCCGGTGACTGCCAATAGAGTGCGCCGAAATCCTTAGCTCAATCAAACGTATCATTTCGTTCAGGCCGCATGTACTCAGATTTTTCTTTTCAATATCTTTCGAGTTTGTTTACCGTTTCGCGCTAATGATACAATTTTTAGCCATCCATTTAAACAGTGGCGGGGAACATCAGTGGTTGCGAAGGACTTTACATTATACATTGAACCATACATTCTAGTTCAACCAGTCCGAACGTTGCAGGCTGAAAATATGACAGCACCTATATGTGCTCATGAAGCGAAGTTGGATACGTATGGGTAGCATTGTTTTCCATCGCTTAGTTGGCTCGTAATCCCGCTCCGTAAACAAAGCAGAATCTTAACGCTCGGATGCGTTTGCATGATAACCAGTCAGTTGACAGAAAACATAAAATTTCCCCCAAGTAAATCACATTAAGATACATCAAGGGCACAGAGGAACGTCGTCTGTTAATCTGCTTGGAACAGAAACGTTGAATTACTTTGAAGTTAAGGCTCATGTGTGACAAGGATGAACTCAACAATGGTAGGACACTCAGTAAGCGAGAGACTGTAAATTCAATCCCAGTATCTGTCTGTGTATTCATGATACTTTAGTTCACATTCAAGATAATCTACATCGAAATCAACATCGACTTCGTGAAGCGGGACTCAGGTTCAAAAAGTTCCGTTTGAGAGTGCTGAATCATACCACGTGTTTTTCGCAGGCACTACACTAACATCGTGAAAATTCGCATACATCTTCAGGGAATATCAAACTAGTGCGAGGGGAAAACCACTTCAGTTTGGAAGAAATTATACCCAAGCGGTATCGCCCAATCGGCTGAAAGTGATAGTTATTTTTGTCTCGAAATATTCGATTTGCTAACTGAACTCAGTCAAACCACGTGCACTTCGGGACTTAAAAAAAAACTGAATTTCGAATAGATTCAGAGAACTGGCAAGAAGATCGATGATATTCGAGAAGGGGATCGCAGCACTTTGAGCCCACTGCTGCAAAGACATCGAGAGCTTTAAAAGCAATGCCGGCAGCAGTATGTACTCGCTTCATTCTGTTTATATTACGCGGATACCCAAAGCCTACAATTACGGTGTAATAAGAGACCAGAAAGGTCTTGTAAGTTAAACAGTACAACGTTTAGTAGTCTGTGTGTGGTGCGGATGGCAAAATCTATTTGAATTGACCTGATCAAAACACCACATAAGCAACCGGTCTAATAATACTGAGAAAACGTTGAAGAATGATACCTCGAGCTACCAGTTGTGACTGCCGTGAGTTCAGGCTTCAATCTGAAGTAAACTTATAGAGGTTATCTTATGCATCTCAAGGAGGACGGTCATGTTGTGTTGTGTTATCAACCAGAAAGACAATTTCAACACTCACGTTCACATCCTTCAGGATTTGAAGCCTGGAAGTTCCAATATCCAACTTTACATCGATCGCATTTCTCACCGCCAACGTTCTTTTTGCACAAGCATCTTCCGGCCACACTGTTCTGCTCTGGAATCGTATACTGCTGGCAAAACCCAGCATACAAAGCACCGTCGGTGTGACAGTTACAAGCTGCGGGAAGAGATTAATGAACAGGCGTATCACATATTCGGGTGTATTACCCAGTTGTTTTTACAGGCCTGAACAGGGAAACTCAGGACTTACGCTGACAGGTCATTGAATGGTTGATCGGATAGTCTGGGTGACGGTAAAAATTTTGTTGACAGTATTCACAGTTGACTCCCTCGGTGTTATGCATACATCCATGACAGTTGCCACCGGAAACGTTTCCAGAACTTGCATACAAGATTGGATTGAAAAAGCAGGCGGTTGCGTGGCCATTACATTCACATTCTGTGGAAGAGAAAGAATATCACCAAGGAAAATGGAAAGCATTCCGTTTACTTTGCACTTTAGGGAGAAGGGGTGGAACAAAAATGTGAACCCTGGTCGATTTGTCGGGTACTCAGTTTTAAGCCGTTCAGCCAAAGTTTTCCACGGCAGGAATTTTATTCTAAGTTATCTGAACATCTTTGAAAAGTGTTGTGTGAGGAAGGAACCCGAAAGTCTGACGAAAATCTAAGGGAGACCCAAATAGTTCTGATGTGATGAGCATAAAGTAGTGTGGAGCAATCTTGAATGTTACACCATAAGAGTATGAAACGCGACGAAGTACTGAACGAAATTTGCTTGAAGTTTCTGACTGTTGCTAGTTGGAATCACCGAACCTCGCGTATGGGACAGAGCGATTGGAGCAACCCTTCCATAAGAAGTAGACCTTATCTGTCCAAAGATATTCATAGGTAAACCTGAAATGACTTCATTGAAAAGAAACTGCTGCTGATGATAACGATGCATTTCTAGCTAAAACGTTTCAAGGCATGCTTTGGTTGTCGAGATGTTGTAAGAGCATTATTCCTTCATTGTCTTCCTCAGACGCACAGGAAAAAAACCGTAATCATTTACGTAACACTACACCTAGACCTTCGACTCCATTGCGAAACGAACTTATGTTTTCCATCTGACGTCTGGTCGTTATGGTCAGTAAGCGACGGGTTTTTCTGGGGCAACCGGAAGTTGGGGAAAGTGATCGGAGGTAGCGGATAGTTACATACATCGTCGCTGTATCAGTTCCTTAATTTTGCTGTTGTTATCACGCTCTGCCGATAAGATCAGCTCAGCTATTTCAAACCGGTGCATTCCAGAGAGAGAGAGAGTTCAGTTGGCCCACCGGCGACGTGCGAACCGGATAAAAATTCGAATCAAATGTCAATTCTGTCTGAAATATTAAAAAAGCTAAAGTGTAGAAACTATGATAGAGTAATACACATCAACAACCACTTATGAATGGCCCAGTACCGAGTATGACATCAATCTACTGATCTTCTTATCCGGTGTAAATATTGTTAAGACAGCCGCATCCTAGGGAGGAGGTTGAGAGATGTCTGCGAATAATTCGACGCATAACGTCGAAGCCACAGATTCTGAAGGAATTTCAAGCAAGAGTGTTATTATTTCTGCTATTTATATGCGATAAAGTGAAGACTTTAACGATAATTATGAAGCTTAAGTGCATTACAACGTCCCCTTCAATGGATGAAAATTTTGCCAAGAATTGCGTCTGAGATAACACCGAAGTGAGCTGTAGTTGCGTGCAGACAAAATTAATGGACCCAGAAGTTAGAAACAATTGTGGGACCACCAAAAGGGGCCAATCAGAAGTGATCTATTTGAGGGATACCAACTAAATTTGATGTCTGTTTCACTCACTTTCACAAGCGTTCGGTGAATCTTTTGTAGCGGGCCTCCAAGGTTTGTTCCAGTAGAAATCCTCGCATGTTTCACAGTTTTCTCCTGCAGTATGGTGAGTACACTCACAGACTCCGTATACCTAAAATTTAGTTGACAAAATTGATGAACACGTTCCAGTTAGTACAATCTATAGAAGTTGGTTGGATTCACCAACTGAATAGACTATTTATCACTGATAATACTGGCTTGGGCACGGATGATACTGGTCACTGGCTTTGATTTCCACGTGCTATCTGACTGCACGATAAGCGAAGGACCGACCACCGAGTAAGCCAAATATACTGGACACTAATTCGCGTACTGTAATATTTGTTAGTAGTACGGTTTAGTTGAACAAATCTCTCGAGGTGGAAGTGATATTTCACGTAACTGGGGCTGCCATAAACGCTACATTTGCAACACAAATCATCGCAACGAATTACTTTCTCTGGCTTGATGATCTCAGCTGTGGATTTCGGTTTGCATTGCTTCGCATGCCCAAAGCATGTGCAACGTCCCCAAACGTTCCACTCATACAGTGCATAATAGTACTTCCGGCGTATAAGGGAGGAATCATCAACGTTCATGTCACCTGAAATAACAAAAGGTAAGAATGCCGTAGGCTTTTGACAGAAATAGAAGAACAGCGACAAGTGTAAACCTTCCACCAATGATTTCTTTCACATCTCTTAAAGTACTCTGCTAGTAGTCAACTGTAGCAGACGGATGATGTAATATCATGCCAACCCAGTGCCGAGGTAGACATGTCCGGTCTTGGAATGTTCTCAAAGGCTACGTACCTCTTAACTACCATAATTTGTGTATTAAAACTACAAGAGACACAATTGGCAGAGGGGTGCGGTACATAATCAGTCAATGACGGCGTTCCAGACTGGTTCAAGGGGAGTAATTACCGACCAAAGGTTAAAAGTGTAGAATCATTCTGTTTTACAAGTTTTTGGATTGACTTCAAGTGATGATACAGCAAACAGATGAAGGAGGGACAAGCGTAAAGTCCCCTTCCACAGTTCCTTCAGACGTTGACCTTAGCGGATTGTGGATTTTCCTGTTTATATTACAGTCGTTCAGCGACGTACAGAACCAAACTGAACAACACTAGCGAGATGAACGAGCAAATCTGACTTGCCTACAGCATTCAGCTATGAATCTGCATTCTTGATAGTTTCCGTTCTATGTCTTCTGCACTGGACTGCCTTCAGTAATCAGTCATGCTACTGCAACACCACATCTATATCCTCTTGTTTGGGTAGAAACGTGACATTGTATTAGATTTAAGATCGTCTTTATCCCGGATGTGCTTCCATATGGTTGTTGCATGACATCATATTGCATCGACAAACGCGATGACTAAAGGCTGACCTAACCCTGCTTACGTGATTTGCGTGGAGTATACTACTGATCTCCGTCATCAGACTATTTAAAAGCGAAAAACTTCATGCAAGATTGGGTTTATCCTTAGAATCATCTTTCGAGGTACAGACTGAAATCCTCATACAAAAAACCTCCCGGGGTACATCAACACGCTTCGGGGTGTGAATTTTTTATGAACTGGTTAAAGCTACCAATTTAGCTGAGCCTTTTAACTTCCCTGACAAGAATCTTGAAAAAGTGACGTGGAAGTAGAAAGACTGTACTCAGAGCGTATAAACCATTTGGTTTACGATGGTAGTGTAGGTTCCCTAGAGACGTCACAAAGCATGCTTTGGATTACCAATACGAAGTGGTACAAGGTTAACTATAGTTGAAGCCTTACGTAAGCTTTTCTGATTGATCAAACACACGACAGAATTCGACGGGTCTCACTGATCAGTCTACTGAAAACTACGACTTAACATCGTAGTCCGTAGAATTCGAAACTATCTTTTCCACTCCGTTACCGAGTGCGGACTGAAGTGCTGTAAACACGGTAGATCCCACCTAAATGTACAAGGTGTATCAAGATGTTTGAGAATAATGATATCACAGTAGCCAGATTTGCCAAACCCCCAAGAGGCCGGAATAACGAGATGCAATGTTGGTTTCAAAGACGGGCTCAAAGGAATCAATGCGGTCATTCTTATTCTTCTCTCGGCTTCCGAAGAGCAAAAAGCCTATTTTTCAATGGATTGACTCTGTTTTTGCATCAAAAAAGATAGACATCACATAAGCGCTGCTCTCATTACAATTTCCAGATGATTTGCACAGATGATGCGGACTGTAAATTGGCTTGGCTTGTTAGTTTTGATAACTTTATTCCCAGTCACCTTCATAGTACGGGATTTTGACTGACAGATTTACTCAACTGGAAATTTGTCTCGAACGATGGATAAGCCACTGATAGTCCAAAGGGTGTCCTACTTTGGCCACAATTTTCAAATGCCAGCCTCTTCTACCTAAACTCATGTTCCCGTAAGGAAGCCTGGGCAAGGTTAAATCGTGCCTAACCACCAGCAAAGGAGTAAGCCATAGTGAGGAAATTCATTCGCATCAATAACTGTCATTTTCGTGAATGTGAATCATGGAATGGCATGTAGTCAGAGATTCAATGATGTGGTCCGGTGGCCTACATAATGAAGTTTCCATATCCTGACGGCTGAACTGTTTTCCCACATCTCACAGCACTTGCCTGTAACATGTCTGGCACTATCAGTGGTGTTGTACATCAGTGCTCCACGACACACATTTATCCTCACGCAATTCACTGATCACCAGTCAGTAAAACGCTGGCGATCAAAATTGACCGCCAGTTTACAAAGTGTGCGTGTTTCGTTGTTGTTGTTGATGATGATGATGACGAAGGCGATTATTATTATGAAAGCTCCGAGAGTAAAGACAACTGGATGACGAAGGCGTGTATTCTACGATTTATGTCCAGTTTGGGCTCAAGTAGAACATGAGGTTGGTGGAAACTCAATGATATAGTGAGTACGAAGAATGGTGAAAAGAGTGGAGCTTTTGGTAACCCTACAAGTAGTTTGCATTCGATAAAATGAGGCATCGAATATCATAACAACTGAAGCGTGCAACAAGGTTTGTGCAGCGCATTCAACTTCTCATTATCTCAAAAGGAAACTTCCGTTGGGTCCCTCATTAACATCACTGTAAATCGCCAACAAAAGAACATTCTTCGGAGTACGAATATTCCCCTCAATGTGCCGGATGTTATCTGGCCCACGCTAACCAAACAGTTCAAAAACTGTTGACGGAAATGAATACAGTATTAAGCTTCAGAGGCTCGATCGATGTGGTTAAAATTCCTTATCAGGAATTCGTGGGCGACGAAAGAGGCAACCAGAGTGAACCTGTTTGTCATAGGAAATAAATGCTCATTTTCTGAAACACAGCATATCTCCTCCATCCATTCAAGAAACGGGCGGTTCGTTTCGTCGCCACATTTTACTTAGTGATGGTGTGGGAGTGGGTGTAACATGTCCGGTGACTAAGAGCTCCACGGCTGGTTGCAGTGATAAAACCACAAGTTTCACAGTTCACCTTGCACGTATCAGTACATGACGGCAACTAGTGTATGAGGAAGTAAAAACCCTGGAAACACACCAGCCGCATTGGTATTCTTCTTTTCCCCGCAGGTATCTTTTCTCGCAGGTACTCGGCACTCGAACCAATGGACCACATGCTAAACCTAATCTTTGTCCTGCAGCCAAAAGTTCTGGAGTTACCCTGTTGCCAACATCAACGATACTGGACCTTACGTCTTTGTTTAGCAATTTGACTTGACAAATACCAAAAGGATAGCTGAATGGAACATTTGCTTGCGCACCACATCGCAAGTCTGGACAATAAACTCACTCTTTTTTTATTTTAGTTAGATGTGCACAAGCATGAGGGTAGCTGAGCATACTTGTACGCGCATTACCAGTGTTCGGTGTGCTATGAACGAAAGTGAACCAAATCCGGAGACGTTTGGCTGCTAGCAGCGGTCATTCAGCTCTGCAACCCTCCTCTTATTTGGAACTGTAGCACAGTGTGTTTTGAAATCGGGTCAGTACAATGCTTCACTTTTTATGGGGCCTATTTTGACCCTAAAACTGAATGCTTTCGACTCGAGTACAAGGATATCCACTCTCGTGTGCGCTTGGGCGTCACAAGTGTCTATGCCAAATATGCATCGGTTTTTATACTGGGTGAACATGACTCATCGACCTGTCCATGACTGTTGGATCGTGTAGTAAAGCTATGGAGAATGACATTACTGACTCACTGACTCACTGACAGACAGTCCACAGTCCCGTAAAAGAATGAGCTCGTGAAAGCACGGTCACTGTTTAAACGTAATGCACTGATCATAAGGTTGCTGAATATTCTTCGACAGCCGACGACCGGCTTTGCCTTTCTTGGGGCTTATCAGGTAGGCGCAGTCCCCGCGTTTCCGTCAACCTTATGTCCCACTTGAAACCAAATTGAACGATATTAGCGAAATACATTCATGTGCAAACGAATCTGGTCTTGTGAGACACTCACCTGGAACCCAGATGAATCTCTCGTTTGTAATTTTTCTAAGCAACTGAATCTGCTGCACCAGGTCGCCTCATGTTTCAGTTGGTGCGATACTCGAGATGTCACGATACAAATGTATTCGTAATGCACTACTCGTTGGCTGTCAAAGAATTTCCAGCAACCTCATGAGTAGTGTATTACGTCTAAAGATGCACCGCGATATCTCGAATATCGTACCAAATGGAACATGAGGCGGGCTGGTGCAGCACTATTAATTGCTTAGGAACACCATGAACAAGAGATCCAGCTGGATTCCAAATGAGTCTCTCGCGAAACCAAATTTGGCTGCAAATGAGTGCATTCCACAATCACTGCCATTCGAACAGCAAATGCCTCTACGACATCCGTTCCTATTCTGCATTAGGTGCACCTATTGCTAAGATTACCAAAGTATTTCTTTCTATAGTACCTGAGAGACATGCAGTAGGGTTCTCTAACTGGCATGCTCTTGTTTCGTGATAGAATCGAAGGAACATCGTAACCTGTAGTCTTGATCAGTCCCTGTTGCAGGTGGTCGAACTCGGCTTCGTTTTTGTAAGCGTGACGTAAGACTAGTAAAGTTGACCGACCCACTTCACTTTTTTCAACCTTCTGTTTGGTATTTACGTACAGCCTATTTGACACTAGTATAATTTCACGTGACAGCCTCACATGTTGCAAATGTGACTCATTCGTCCCGTGTAAAAAGGTAACTTCAAAAAACCTACACTACCGATACTAGGCTCCTTAAAAAAAGTTTCTCATAAATTCTAGCTAGACCAATGGTCACCACAGAGCTGTCTTCGGAACTCGAAGTGTTCTGCATTCAACTCAGTGTGATAATACCTACTTTTCAGTTATATGAGTCGTCATTATTAAGTCACTGTGGGGTTCCACCACTTACGCGTATTTCATGACTCACCAGTCATTCATTTCTACCGCTTCAAAGTGAGCTTCGCGGTTTCCAATGTATCACATATCTGTTCTTTGAATGACAGCACAAGCACACCTAGCATCACTGACCAACCGTTTCGATTGCAAGCCTACACAGGCAATAATACCAAGGATAGCAACCTGCATTTGAATGAAACCAGCTGT